CACCCCTGTATAATTCATCTTCCACATAACTACAAAAGTATCATCCATAAATCACTTGCCTTGCTCCCTAATCTCTTGTATCTCCCTTCTGCCTAAAGGAAACATCTATTCTCTTCTCTTAGGCATTTAAAGCCTTTTATCGCCTGACTCCAACTTTCCTTTCCAGGTTTATTTTACATGTTATTTCTATTCTTAAAACGACCTTTGTCTTTCTTTCTCAGTGCTTTACACGGGACATCCTCTATTTCTAGAATGTACCCCATCTTTATCTCTTCTTAGAATCACTAGATTATTTCAAAGTTCAAGTCAAATACCACCCCCTTTATGAGACTTTTCAGGATCCCCCAAAATGCCGTTTCCTCCTTGAAATCACCTTGGATGTACACAGCTTTTATTTGTATATATTTTTATGTGTATACATGGTATTTCCCACAATGAGCTATTTGATGCAGAGGCCTTTCCATTTTCTTTGTATCTCCCACGCCTAGCACAATGCCTGGCCATAGTAGGTGCTTAATAAATGTTTATGGATTGATCAGTTCATAGATCACACACTAGGCAGCTTTGATTAAGTCACTTAAACTCTATGATCTTCATTTTTCTCATTTCTGAGGCAAACAAGATATCCATCCTATCTACCTCAAGAGTTCACATGAGGAAAATGGTTTTATAAGTGGCAAAATCCCTCATCAACCTGAGCTATTAACATATCTCCTCCTTTTTCTAAATTCCACAATCAAGATAAAAACAAGATAGTAACAATACTATGAGCTGGTATTAGTTATTTCACATCTTACAAATCAATTTCTTTAATATCATGGGCAAAAGGTACTGAGAGTTTGAATTAGGGTGGTAGCCACATGATTGAGGGGCAGCTAGATGGCACTGTGGATAGAGCACCGGCCCTGGATTCAGAAGGACCTGAGTTCAAATCCAGCCTCAGACACATAACACTTACTGTGTGACCCTGGCAAGTCACTTAACCCCCATTGCCCCACAAAAAAAAAAAAGGAAAGAAGTGGATGGATTCAAGAATGTTATGAAGGTCAGATAAGTGCTTCCTACTTCATCAGGCCACCTTTCATGAAGGAGAGATAAACATGTCTTCTGATATGCATGCTGTTTGGTTCATCTGCCTCCAAGGTTTCATGGACCATCACAAAAAAATCATACATGCTCACAGAACTTTCATTTAAGAGATATAATGTTTGGGGCAGCTAGGTGGCATGGTGGATAGAGCACTGACCCTGAAGTCAGGAAGACCTGAGTTCAAATCCAGCCTCAGACCGAATACTTAACACTTGCTAGTTGTGTGACCTTGGGCAAGTCACTTAACCCCAATTGACTAAAAATTTAAAATAAAAATTTTAAAGATATAATGTTGACATTCTTCCTCTTAGAGAAAGATAGGAAGGACTAATTCTTTATATTAAATGTCTTAGTTGACAAAGGATAAACTGATTGAATCATTATTGTACTTACCACTAGGACTCACTATTCTTCACTCAAGCCCTATCCCCCAAATAGTATCTTCCAAACAACTGCCAATATAATCTTCCTAAAACCTATAACACTTCTTCACAAATCTCTAGTAGCTCCTACTGTGCCTAGATTAAAACAATATATTGCTTACACAAAGCCCCTAGGATAAACAACAAATTCCTTACCTCGCATTTAATGACTCTAGGATAAAAAAAAAATCCCTTGCCTTGTATTTAACGCCCCTTCCAAGTTAGAGACCTGTTATTACCCTTCATGCACTCTGTGTTCTAGCCAAATTGACTTATATTTGCCCTTCCCTAAACTTGACCTTTCATCTCTTACCTCAGTGAATGTGCAAGCATTCATTAAGAGCTAACAAGGTGCCAAGCACTGGGATAAAATCTGGGGTTACTGATAGAAACAGCAAGATAGTCCCATGTTTCCAAAGAACTCACATTCTAATACGGAAAGTCAGCCCATAAAAAGTTCCATGAATAGAAAGGGCTGGAAACCTTAAGGGTTCAGTGATCAGGACCTAAGAATTCTTAGGTTGCATCAGTAGGTCAGATGGCAGTGCTAGTCTGGAGAGTTTAAATATAGAACACATGCTGAGTCCTGGAGAACCTTAGGAGGCAGTGGCAGGGGAGATACATGGGAAGACCTAGTGGTCCTCCATTTCATTGAAATGAAAAGAGTTAGTGACTCATCTCATCCAAGCAGTGTAAATAGGTAAGTTTTAAAAAAATAAAAGTTAAGTAGCTCGGATGGCTCCTAAGCAGTAGGGCTAGGGCTGGGGAAGGGGGGTTACAGAGGAGGGGAAAGAAAAGAAAGAAAGCTGCCTGAGTGGTGGCACAACCAATTCTTATCACAACCAATGCCTGAAATGCCTTCGGCCTCACACCTCAGCTTCTAAGAAACTCCCTCCAGTTTCCATCAAAGTTCAGCTGAGGAGCCCCCTCCTACAACATACCTTTCTTGATTCCCATAACTATTAGTTAGTATTACAACATAATTACAAATATATTTCTATATTATATCCTACAACATTAGGTCTTTTTTTTTTTTGCAGGGGGAAGGGAGTCTTTGTATACCTTACACATAGTAGCCAAAAATGTTTGCTAAATTGAATCGCATTCAGACAATGTTTCCAGAAGCAGCTCTGCCGCTAAGTGTCTTATGACATTAGGCAAGTTACTTCATCTGTGGAAGCTTATTTCCTTCTTCAATTCAACTTATTTCGCTTATTCAATATCTATTATGTGCAGAGTTCTAAGTGCTGGAGATGCCTCAAACTCTCAGTTCAGAGATTTTAGGGGCAGTTGGTGGTACAGTGGATAAAGTGCCAGGCCTGAACTCAGACTCATTTTCCTGAGTTCAAATCCAGCCCCAGATACTTAATAGCTGGGTGACCATGAGCAAGTCACTTCACCCAGTTTGCCTCAGTTTCCTCATCTGTTGAATGAGCTAGAAAAGGAAATAGCAAACCACTCCAGCATCTTTCCAAGAAAATCCCAAATGGAGTCACAAAAAGTCAGATGTAACTAAAACAACTCAGACAACAATTAAAAAAAAAGTGCCTGCCATCATGGAGCTTAAATTCTACCAGTGGCTGGAGTGTGGCAGACACACAGAAATATGAGGTTGTGATGAAACAAAAGAAGACAGACAGAAAACAGGCTTAGGAAAATTTGAGTTGCATATGTAAAATAAAAGTTGGCTAAACTAAACCATAGCTATGACCCTAGTGCTAATACTCTTTCAAACTCTCATTCTAGAAGAAGTGGTTGTCTAATTTCCCATTTTAATCAACTACTTCTCTACGGCATAGTTTTCTTTAATCTATGACTCCTGCTGAATTCATCCAAAGTACTAGAGTAAATTCTTATACTTCAGGACCATAACCATAGTCAGATTTCTCCTTAACCCAAGCTACTTAGACTCCAAAAAAGTGTGAAATTCATTTAGAGGAAGAGAAACAATCCAGAAAAGTTGTATCTGTCCTCCTCAGAGCCAAAACTAGTGCTTAAAAAGTTAATCCAAGGGGCAGCTAGGTGGTACAACGGATAAGGCACTGGGCCTGTCATCATCAGGAGGACCTGAGCTGAAATCCAGCTTCAGGTACTTACTAGCTGTGTGACCCTGGGAAAGTCACTTAACCCTGATCACCACCAAAAAAAAAAAAGTCAGCCCACTAAAATTTAGCTTATTCATGTGATTATGCTACACTCCCCATCTGAAGACTCTTGGATCTTTAGTGCAGGCTAAATAATAATTCAAAACATTAACCAATCCACAGAGGCCTCACGCCGAGTTTATTTCCTCCAAGAAGCACAGAGCTGTATGCTCTAACTAACTACAACAGCTGAGTCAAAGGAAACTAGTCATATTCTGGCTTTAACATTTGCTAGTTAGCTGTATGAAAATAAGAAAGTCACTTAACTAGTCTATTTGTAGAATAAGCATGATGGTATCTTCACCACAGACTTCCACAACTTATTGTGCATGTATGCTGAGTAATTATTACTAAAATTAATCACTATTCATTATTCCTCATCCTCTATGCCATTATGTGACATAAGCAAGTTTTTACTTATTTTAAAAATATGCCTTCAGGGCAGCTAGGTGGCACAGTGGATAGAGCACCGGCTCTGGAGTCAGGATGACCTGAGTTCAAATCTGGCCTCAGATGTTTAACATTTACTAGCTATGTGACTCTGGGCAAGTCACTGCCTCACCCCCCCCAAAAAAAATCCATTTTCTGAAGTTTAATTTCCCCTCCCTACCCCCATCTGTATCTACTAAAGTGGCCCATCCTACTTGTGCTTACATATAGGTGTTCCAGTGCTCTCTGGATATTTTTTTTCCACTTGATTTTGATTTAAACCAAGGGACTTTTAGTTTGGAAAGTATAGTATCATGATTGAAAAACAAACCTTGTTTCAATTTTAAGGGTAGTATTTTTAAAAATGTATTTTTCAACCTCAAGGTGATAATGCTTTTATTACTTTTAGGATTAAAGTAATAATTGTGTCCTTTTTTCTAGCCTTTTCCAATACATTGTTTTCATTTGACTGTCACCATTCTCTTCCGGTCTATTTTTTTTTCATTCTATAACCCCACCTACATGGCTTGTTTGTATCCTACTAAGTGAGAAGATTTGGGAGGAGAAAGGAATGGAGCTGAAATGGGATCAGAGATTTTTCTGTGCAATTGTGTTCACCATTTGGAATGATCCCTTCAGGATTGACATCTACAAAGAACTTTCATTACTTGTCCTGTCCCTCATCAATTTTATGCCTGCGATATTAAAAACATTCTTGGGGGCTCTAAAAAATCTTTCATGTCACAAACAAACTTAAACTAACCAAGGAATTGCTTTCTAAAACAAAACAAATCCATAGAAAAATATAGTTTCCCTTTTGTTTCTCTAGCTTACAGTCCAGGTTCATCCATAATCTGGGGGGGGGGGGTTGTGCCCTGTTTCTATCACAAAATTGTTTTAAAAAAAATACACTTACCCAGAATATGAAGTTGAAGATAAACATAGAGTATTTTATAAATCCACTGACAGCTGACATTTCGAAAGGAAGTCAAGAAACCAAACAGCACAAAGAGAATTCTCTTTAACAAGAGTATCCAGCAGTGTTCTCAAGGTACCAGATGGATTTTCTGTGTGCTGTCACAAAGGAGAAAAGAAAAAGAGAAAAGAAAACATCTCTTTCAATTAATGAGGTAGATAAAAATTAACCAGCGAATTTAAATGTCACAAGGTACTATCTGCAGCTATGCATGTTTTCTTTCATGCCTTTCATGAAGTAGGCCAGGACATTTCTGTTCTGCTCTGTAAGATTACCTCTCCTAAAGTAAGCAGATATGAAATTACTCAGGGGGATGGGAGAAGGAAGTAGAACCATGAAATTTTTGTTGCAGATTTCAAAAGTCAACAGCCTCATGACTTTATCTCATACTATTTGCATGACTTCACAGTGATTTTTTTTTAATTTAAAGAAAGGTACTTGGTGGAGGTTTTTTTTTTTAACTCAGGAAAAGATGACATTTTTGATTTGTGATGAGACATTTTTCTCATCATAGGAAGATAATTGTATCTGTTTCATATTTCCAATGTCATTTCCTTCAGAAAACAGATCCAATTTCAACACCACATTTTCTTAGGAAATCATCAATACTTTTCAGAAATCAAAATAGCCATTAAAAGTATAATGAAACATATGTAGAAGGTTTGGAGAGAGATGCCAAATTAACATTAGTAAAACTGCACTGAAAGAGTAATTCCCATTTATAGTTCTTTAAGATTATAAGGTTTAAGTTAAATTCAACAAACATTTAATAAGTGCCACTCACCATGTGCTAGGCCCTAGGGATTCAAAGACAAAAAAAAAAGTCTTTGCTCTTGAAGGACACATTCTACTGGATTAGCTCACTTTCCTCAGAACAGCCTTATAAAGCAAACCCTATGATGTTATGATGTAGATGAGACTGAAGCTCAGGAATTATGAGCTTTGCTCATGATCACCCAGCGAATACTGTTTAACTGAAGCAAAATTCAAACCCATGTCTTTGAATTTCAAATTCAAAGCTCTTCTCACTCCTACATACAGTAGAATACATTAAAAAAAATTGTGTATTTTTGCCCAATGCCTACTTCTTTTGAATCTCACTCAGCAGATTGCTCTGGAGCTACTCATATTTAGTGGAGGCCTGCGGAAGAGGAGGTAGAGGAGACCAATGTCTTTACATTATTCAGTTTATTGCTTACTTTCTGTGTAAAATGCAATAATCCTTCCTATTTGTCACTGTTGGCTCCTAGAATGCTCATGTAATGGTCTTCAGTTATTTTGATAAGTTGGTTTGCTTTCTAGGTGTGTTTTCACTTACTTCCTATGCTACCTGCTACCTGGTGATTGCTTTTCTCCCGCCTCTTTCTTCAGATTGTTCCTGGGTTGTGTAGTCCTCCTAGCTTAATGTGAATTAGGGACATACTTCAGCAATCAATGACCACATAATGATTATCTCTTTCTAATAGTAATAGAAAGAAGTTGTGGTATCTGTTGCAGTCAAAAGTAGCTTCCTGGTCTATTCAGAGGTAGAGCACACCAAGTTGTAGCCTGGGATTAGAGACTATCTTAGAAGAAATATGGTGGCTAGAGTATTGGTCTTAAGATTCAAGAAAAGCTGGCTCTGATCACACTGTGTTACTCTAGGGAAGTCACTTAACCCCTCTCCAACTCAGTCTCCTTATGTGTAAAATGGGGATAATAATAACTACCATATATATACATAACTCATGATGTTTCTCTGAGGCTCAGATGAAATCATTTGTATTAAGTGTTTTTTATGAGTCTTAAAATATTAGCTATTACTGCTAAATACCAAGTCACAGCTTAGAATCTTCATAATGGGAGTGGAGTGGAGGGTGTAAGAGAAGATCAGCAGAGATTCTGATCAACTTGAGACATCCTAATCATGTAGATGAGATTACAAAGTATGTAATGTTGCCTTTATAATGTAAATGAACTTTGAATGACTTAAGAATGTTGATGAAAGCAAACCAAAGATTTCAATGGACTAATAATGAATACTACCTGTGTCCTGACAGAGATACAAAGGACTCAATATGCAATTTCTTAAAAATTCTTTTTAAGTTCTTAAATTTTTAATTTTTTTAAAATTTTTAAAATTTCAAATTTGGGAGCATTTTCATGAATTTTGTTTCCCCACCCACCTCATGATGGAGTAAATAGAAGGGAAAGAAAAAAATGCTGTCTCCTTTGTGGTCTACAAAGCCATCTGTGAAATGGCCCACCAATTTTACTATTCTTTTTGTATATTTTCTCTCTCTTCCCGATTGGAGAAATGGAATATTTCTCTTTCTTATGCTCTCACATATTGCTTCTCCATAAGATCAAAAAAGAAAAAAAAAAGGGCAACCTACATATGGGACAAACACATGATGAGTGGCCTATGCTTGTCCAAGGGAGTCTGAGAGGTGACCTAGACTTCCACATTATGGCTGTTTCCTTTTCTGAGTCCAAATCAGAGAATATCTATCCAGAAAAATGGACATTTCTAGCCATGAAGCTCACCTCAGGGATAATCCTGATTATGAGTTAATGTGTTTGAGTTGGACACCAGCCTCTAAAAGGTAGACTTCCTTAACAAGATGCTTCTCAGACAAGAAGAGAATCCTGAAGCTGGAAGATTAGAACCATACTTTGAAGGGCCTGGAGAGCTGTGCTGACCCCTCCATGACATTGCCAAGTTGCTTGATTGGTAAAGGTCAAAGGTATGCAGGGAGTATTTGTTCAGCAGCCCCTCAAAGTATCTTTACTTTACAGAGTGAATCTAATGACTATAATGTGCTATTTGAGTATTTTGTGCATCCTTTATTTGTTCACAGAAGTATGAATCAATATGATTCATGTATGAATCATAGGATTCTGTGTCATACTTTTTTCTGGTTGAAGAAATAAAATTATATTTCATATCTGGTAACTGTATTGCACACTGAGCACTTTTGTAGGAAGGAGCTTTACTTCCCATTGGGGTAAACCCTAGCCATGAGACATAGTTAAACTTTGTTTTAGAGATTTCTTTAGAATTGGGAGTAGAGCCATAATAAAGAAAGGGGATTGGCTCCAAGGTTTAAACCTAGTCCACTGACCTAGAGTCCTTTGGAGAGTAGGAGACCCAGGCCGTGTGTAACACATGCAAATGACTTTCTATCTCCTCCATATTCAATGGAACCTATAAAAATGACCTACCTCAGAGAGAAACGCTCTTAGGAATCTACATTATAAAGTATATTAGAAGCAAGATGGAAAGAAATAATGCAACTGGTGTGACACTGGGTGACATGGTGCAAGTCATTTTGATTCTCACTGACATCCCAAAATGCTCTGGAAACAATCTCCCACCAGGCTACACACTAGCTAGGTTTCATAACACAAAAGCTTCAGTCTTCCTGATTCCTGGTTTGGACATTAAGATTGCTTCTTTTCATAATTTACAAACTGTGAATCAGCAAAATCACTGTATACATGGAAGAAAAGAAAAATAAAAGACGTTTTAAGGGCTGCCATGTGAAACAGATTAGATCTGTTGTTTGGCCCCAGAAGGAAATACTAGGAACAATGCATAAAAGTTACAAAGAGGCAATATTTTGGCTGTTTAATGGAAGCTTCCTAACAAAGAGAATTCTCACAAAGTGGAATGAGCTTCCTCAGTAAGTTCCACCCACTAGAAGTCTTTAAGTATAGTCTAGATTCTTGTTCAGGGAAGACTTGGATTAGATGTCATCTGAGCTGTCTTCCTACTGAGATTCTATGAATTTCTGATTTTTGTCTGGGCAGGACCAGATTTTCCACTCTCTTTGGTCAAGTTTAGAATTTATTTTTTTTAAATAAATCAATATTTGGTGGCCTTGAATCATACTTGAAAATGTGGGTACTCTGGGATTTTTTCTCATGCAAAATGGAAATGCTTTAATATTTAAATGTTTCAATATTTCATGTATATTGGATTTCATCCATGCAAATATAGCCTTCACCAAAGCAAATCACAGCCCCTTTATAACTTAGATGGCCTTTGAGAATTGCTATGGCCAACCTAATGATGATATCCAGAGACACAGCAATGAGAAATATATAGACTACCTGTATATAAATTCCTCAGAGGCATGATGAGTTGCATTATTTCTTCCCTTCTTATTTCTAAGATATTTTATAATTCTTAAGATCATTTTCTCTGCAGCAGGAGGCAGAAGGTAGGTCAATTTTATAAATTCCACTTAACATGGAAGAGATAGAAATTCAGTTATGTGTGTTACCCATGGCCTGGGGGTCCTCTGCTCTCCAAAGGACTCTAGGCCAATGGACCATATAGGAGAGTTAAGAAGGCTTGAAAAATTAAAACATCAATTTAAGAATAGCTGGCCATCTCTGTGAAAAGTAAATATGTTAGATTAGGCTTCCGGTTATTTATTTTCAAGCAAGTCATGAATATTTTATTTTATTTTGAACAAACAGTTTAATAAGCACCTACCCTGTCAATGCATTTTATACAAACAAAGGCTACAGGGGCAGCTGGGTGGTGCAGTGGATAGAGCACTGGCCCTGGACTCAGGAGGACCTGAGTTCAAATCCGGCCTCAGACACATAACACTTACTAGCTGTGTGACCCTGGGCAAGTCACTTAACCCCATTGCCTAGCCAAAAACACAAAAAAACAAATAAAGGCTACAGAGATAGAGATGATCAGATTCCGCTTTCAGATAGTATAATTTCATAGACATTAATCATACATATTACTATAAAGTTATAGGTATTAGATTTTATACTTAATTTAATTAATATTAAATTTTAATGTTTAACATTTTAAAAGGAATTTTAAATTTTTAAATAATTTTTGTATGAGAAAGACAAGTTTCACTCACTTAATTCTCCAAAAATTTTTACTAAGAACCTAACATATGCAAGAAAAACAGCATTTAAGGCTCAGGGTTGGTCTTACAGATTTCATGGGCAAAGAGAACTCCCAGATGAGGAAACTCCCTCTACCACTGCAGGTACACACCTCCTCTGGCTTAATACAGCTGTCTGGGGCAAGGACTTGTTCAAGGTCACACAGACAGTATATATCAAAGGCAGGACTTTTGTA